CATTCTCATCGCAACGAAGTTGCAAGTTTAAAGGGGAAAAATGATGTTTCTTCTGTAATTTGGGCTTTTCCTGAAACTACGATTTGTTCGCGTGAACAATTACGTTGCTCGACCGCAGAAACATAGAGTTTTGTACTTGAATAACTAGAGATACAATTTACATATTGTGTATGAATCGTAATGTAAAGATATATATTCTCAAACCTAATCTACAATGTGTGCTCTTTGCGTCTAGAAACATTCTATTTTATATAAGCTGATCAAAGCGCTTAAAAAATTTGTCGACAATTTACGATTGTACAACGTACAATGTACACTTAATCAACTTGCACAAATTAAACAGATTTATTGGCTACAAAATAGAATGTATCTAGACGCAAAAAAAAGAAACATTGTAGATTAGCCTTAACAATCCCATATCTTGGTGGAAGTTTTAATATAGATTAAGACGTTTGTGTAAAGGCCTGTGTCCACGGTGCTAGAACTTGGACCAAGTTACTTAACAAACACGGTAATATCGCTGTAACATGTTCAATACTTCTTGATAACAGACTGATAAGATTACATCAAACGTACACAGTCGCAACCACGATATATTGGGTCATCCAGTAATGCGGTTTTCGGGTTTACTTTTAAAATGAAACAAAAACGTGAGAGACTTTTATTTCGACTCAAAAGATCCTTAAATCCCGCGACGATAGATCCTTCGGTTTTGAGCTAAGGAATAAAGTAAGCTCTTATCGGGAAGACCCAGTGTCGACAGAGAAAAATGGGCGGCGCAAAAGAATCGAAGGCGTGTACAAAATATATATAGTTTATTGATATATCCCCAATCGAAGACGACGTGTACTCCATATCTATGCATGCGTGAGAAAAAAATTAGTCGGTGGATACGAGAATTTCGATTACCGTTATAAGTCAACAGACTTCGTAAAACGCGACCGTTTCGATCTGTCCGCCCGAGAAGTCTTTCGGCTTTCTTTCCGCCGTGACACCTCACCTTAATGGCCCTAATTACGTAATTGAGTGGTAGGATCCGTGAGAGGAACGTAAGAGACCTGCATCAGTTTCTTCTTCGTGACCGCGCCGTCCGTGCTCTTGTCCACCTGCAGCAGGTCTTGGAACCTTTGGAAACCTTCTATGGCCACGACCGGGCAGATCAGTCGACCTCCGGGAGCCAGTTGGTCTATCAACTGCAAAAGTCATGCCATCACGATCTATACGTATCGCAATCTCCCTCGTGCATCGATCGTCTTTTTCTCTCTCTCTCTCTCTCTCTTTCTCTGAATACAATTTACGCTTACCGTCTGCGGTAAAGCCTCGGCCGCTGCTCCAACGTGTATAGCGTTGTAAGGGCCGTCAGCAGCGTGTCCCAATCTGCCGTCTCCCACTAGGCGCATTCATAATGACCTGTCGTTAGTCGGCAGTCTTAATCTTTTACCTTTACAGCAAAGCCACACAGTCGGTGGACAGTGTTCCGTTCGACTCTTCACGGCAACGTACATACCTACTCCACGTGGACGGATCACGAGTATTCTTTTATTCGAACTATGCATACGTCTAACAACTTCTTGAACGTTTCTTTATTTTTTTCTCTGTCCTTCTCTCATCGTGCTCGGACGAGCTTTGCACTGAGATTCATGAGACGTGGAAGGAATGGCGTGACATTGACGAGAGAAGGAGCTTCGACTGTCTGAGTGAGGGGCTGGGGGGACTACACCAGGAACGATAGCGGAGGGGGACTCGAGCGTTAACGGAGCGCGGCTTACCCACGAATTTGATGCGGTCCTCCTTGAGGAAGTGCGGATTGTCCTCGCGCACGTTCCTAGCCGAGATCTCTATGAGCTCGGGGATATGCTCGATGCCCGTTACGCGCCCGCGCGAGCCTACCATAAACGCCATGCAAGTGGACAGGTAGCCCGAGCCTGAGCCGACGTCGAGTGCCTTGGCGCCGTCGAACAGCTGATCGGAGAGGATCGACAGCGCGTACGCGTGCTGCAGCAGATTACAGGCGTGATTTAGCTCGAAGCGGATTGAGTCTCGAGGGGATGTACGTTTAATCTCGGTGACAATTATTTGCGCGACGCGTCGCCGTTTGGAAAAGCCTTCGCCAAGTCAAATATAAGTTTAACGTAAATAACGTAAAAATAAGATAAGAAGGTCACTCCGATACCCTCGTTTCAAATCGCATTCCTCTGATAATTGTTTAGCCTCGTTACCCTATAGATATTCGTTTGTAATATTCAAGTGTCGAGTATTACGATTAACTTGTACTTTACAAGGTAACAAGGTGAAAAGGAATCGACGCCGAGTAGCGTCGACCAAGAAATTGGGTCTGCTCTTTTAGCTGAACTGACTGCGCCGGTACAAAATTCATATTCTTCCCCCTGCATTGGAAAGAGAAAGACGAGCTCCGAACTAGCGCAGCCAATTTAGCTCAAAGGAACAGGCACATCCGCTCGCTAGAGCGATCCTCGTGTTTATCATAAAATCATGAGAAGCGCGTCAATAGCTCGCGTCGTTGAAATTACTGACTACATATCGTCGCAAACACACCCAGATAGCACAAGGGTGAACGCAAGCTCATAGAGAATTCATTTGAAGGAGAATACCTGCAAGATTAGAAATATCTCAAGTATTCTTGGAGAATCAACACCACAATCAGTCGGCCAGAAGTTCATTATGATGCATGTAACCTACCCAATCGTTCTTACTGCATTCTTCTACGAATTCCTGGAGAATTACAATTCAGAAAGGTAGAAAATGAGGAGGTATACTTGGCGAACTCGCCGTGCTACCTGGGAGTACTTTCCGTAAACGCCACGGGGCAAGAACGACCCGTTGAGCTTCTCCGCTACGCAAACGTCGACCGCGACGAAGCGGAACGAAATACGTAAATTACCATATGCGGCGCGCTGATGGTCACGTTGTAACCGATTCTTCGGGGACGGTCGAGATAGGGGTCCGGCTCGTGGCAGTACTTGGCTCTGTCAACGGCGAGCATGGCGGCTTCTGCCCTGTCCGTTGCCAGTATACCAGCATCTGCGAAGTAATCCCAGATCAGCGGCGCAAAGCGGAGCGACTGTAACTCCAACGAGAGCAGGGCCTCGCCATTGAACGCGGCGGTCAACCTAAGGTCCACCTCCGCGGGGCAATCGTCCTGGCCAGAGAGGAGGCGAGGGGAGGGGTCGCTTACCTTTCAGCTTCGCCACCATCTCTTGGTTCGTGGTGCCGTTGCAGTGCCATGCCATGCTTCGCGGGTTGTCGCGCGCGCGATCCGCCGACCGACCGGGGGGGGCAGCCTCGTAGCGCAGCCGAGAAGATCCCAGCAGCCCTGCATCAAACAACAACACGCAGGTGAGTTGTCACAACGGCGGGCGACGCGCGCGACCGACGGGCGCTTCCCCGCGCCGATCGATCTAAATTCGGAGATCGCTCTCGGCTCCCGGCGACGATCGACGATCGACGCGGGGCGTCCGCGACGCCGGGGGATGGAGACGCGCACCTCGCCAAGCCTCAGGAGAGCCTCATTTGTCGCAGAACGTCCTCATTCCTCCCGCACACGGGTGCCTAATATGGCCGTGACGATACAGGCAGCGACAGCGACCTTTAAGGATGACTCGCTGGCCGCGGGAGGGTGGGGGGTGGGGGGAGGCGAGAACAGCTGATGCGACGACTATCGATTCGCGAGCCTCTCGCGGGCCCGCGAGATAAGCGCGAATTTGAATCTCCGTCGACCGGAAGGCTCCGAGATGGAGATTTCTGTATCAACGCGACGCGCGAAATGCCGACGCTATCTCCTCCCAATTGGTCTCCGAGGGAGGAAATGAGTGAAGGAGGAGAATCGGGAATCGTCTTGACACTTTCATGACCAGTAGCGCGATTCTGTAACTCGTTATGTCGTCGTTACGGGCTTTGCGCAGATCTAATATACCGTAGAAAAGCTGCGCAAAGCCCGTAACGACGACATAACGAGTTACAGAATCGCGCTACTGGGCCTATATTCCGTACACGATTACCGACGACCATCGATACGTTAACGACGTTTGCGCAGCTTTTTCTACATGATAGAAAAGCTGCGCAAACGTCGTTAACGTATCGATGGTCGTCGGTGGCCTATATTCCGTAAGGCCTGTTACACAATACGTCGTATGTCGCTGTCGGATGTCGGGACGTGGTCGATGGGTCCAATAAGAAAATTCCTTTTCAAAAAATAAATTTTCTCATTGGACCATCGACCACGTCCCGACATCCGACAGCGACATACGACGTATTGTGTAACAGGCCTACACGATTACCGACGACTATCGATACGTTAACGACGTTTGCGCAGCTTTTTCTACATAATAGAAAAGCTGCGCAAACGTCGTTAACGTATCGATGGTCGTCGGTAATCGTGTACGGAATATAGGCCCAGTCGGACAGTTCTGTCTACAAGCTTAAAACAACTCAATCATTTCGTACGCATTCTGTCACCAATAGAACACTGCGTATAAAAGAAAACTTAGGAAGAAAGGTAATCTGTGACGTAGGAAATCTTATAAGTCGCCAGAAGTAATCAAAAAACTTCGGAGGATCGCTCGATCATGTGTGGCAAACTTTTATGTTCAAAGTCACGACGTTTCGACCATTGTTTGTGGCTCCTTCTCAAATATTGAATCCGTATGGCGAAGTAAAGGAGCCGATCATGATTTCACGAGCGACAGAACGCGACTGGAAAATAATCTGGTCATGAAAGGATTGAATATGATCTCGAGAAGCTGCGATTTTCACTGGCTGGATACAATCTTAATGCTGTACGGTCAAATTTAAGTAGATGCAAGATCGAAGTGTCCATAGTCTAATCTCAATATAAGAAACAATGTAAAGTTTTGTTATTTGAGAATTAAGATTTTTTTTAATTTGAAATACATAAGCAAATTTTTAATATTTCTCATCGTATAACACTTATTTTCATTCCTGTCCCAATTAATTTTCAATCAACATTAATTCATTTATGATCAATGTAACCGCCTAAAGAAAGATTTTGTCCGGCTAACGAGACGTATATAGAGCTCACTCGAGATCGCACTCTTGGGACAATCTTAAATATAAAATTTAACTATAAATACCATCCCTCAACGTTTTCGTTAACTCGACAGCGACTAAACGGTTTCCTCTCTGCAACCTGAATACCTCGGAGGCGTCACAGTTGGCGCGACGTCGAACGCGACGCGCAAGATTCGAATTCGAAAACATCACCGGCGGATCTCCGGCTTCTCTGTAACGAGAAAAAGGCGACGATAGGATCGTCGGAAAGAACGTTCTCCAAACGGAGACGACTGCGACATGCGAGGGTACCGAAGTCGAGCACAATTTGAAACATCGCGCGTCACCGCTCGGCGTTAAAAAGCCGTTATCGCGCACACGTGAAAGCACGGGTTTTCGAGTCGTAATTAATTCGCCGCGAGACGTAATTTTATCAATTAATCACAAATCGCACCGTCGGACAGCGACGGTAAATTAACTCTTTTCCGTAAATCAGCGAGATGCAGAGGCAGTAAATCATCATGGTGCAATTCTCGCTTGCGCACGACACGATGATTTAAAATGAAAGATAAAGGGGAAGAGAGATAAAGATACTCGGCTCGAACTGGCGAACCCAATGTTTCCGCGAGAAGGAAAAGATATTTTGTATTATGGTAGGCGTTAAGCATAACGACAGTATCTTAGATCGTATCATTTAAAAGAAACTGTTCATTACACACGATTCGATGTCATTGCCGGTCTATCGTGGCCGTCTATTCGTGTAAATATATGTGTTAAGTAATGAAAAATACAAGGGATAAATTAAAATGAACATGAGTTAAGCTAACAACCAATAGAAAATGTGCCAAAGCATGGTCGGGCTGGCTCTTTTGGGCCCAACAATATTTTCTGTGTAAATTACTGTACATTTTTCGCTCGGCAGACTACGCGCCAAAATAAAATTGTATCCTCTACTGTGCGAAAAAGGAGAAGTTAAAATTTAAGCCGAGGAAAAGAATAATTTTCTTAACTGTCTTAAATACGATCTCAAGAAGCTATAATTATTTCATTAGCTGGATGAGATCCTTTTTTTTCTGATCGATCTTAAGTATAAAATTGGGACGATCTTGTACTTACGAGCAAAAATGATGAAATAACTCGGCGTTGTGACGCAAGAAAGGAAAAATTTGTCAAGATTCAAACACATGTGTACATATATCGTTAGCGTATTCGGGGTCTTTGATATTTACAAAGTCCAGATACGGCTACATTGATTCTATCAGTGTCTAATAGACTTCATTAAAGCCGACGATGGTCCGATAAAACGAAATGTTTGCCGTATACACAGAGCACTGTGTGCCTATTATTTACGCGCTTTCATTAACGACTGACAACGAGATAAGGGTGCCCCTTCCTAACGAGAATTTTCACGTGAGTAGCGATCGCTATAAATCGAATTACAGCACGTACGCGGGTCTAGTGCAAGACGGGTGTTCTGTTTGTATACTAATGTGTTGCCGTATTTCATCCCCTGCCGATCTCAGGCTCGAGGCCGACAAATAATCGCGGAAGCTGCCCGGTGCAGTCGCGTCCGTTTAGAAAAACGTGCGATGGAGAAGCACGAAAAACCGCCGGAGGAGCCGGGAAAGTTGCGGCAATTCCTGGCCGCGATAGTCGGTAAGTTGGAAAGGAGAAAAAGCACTTTTTCATCGTGGAGTTCTTCCTCCAGGAGCAGCGACATGCCTCGTGTGTGTGATGTCTTCCAATGAACGATTAAACAGTGTGATTAGTCCCGTGATCGAAGAAGAGAAATCTTCCTCTGTGATAGTCCTCCGACGATGAGTGCCTTTACCATAAAAAGAATTTTAAAGAAAACAAAAATAAGACATTTTTAAGAGATGCACTTGATAAAAATGCACGGAGAGAATTTTCTCTTAAAAATATTTAGACACTAACACCCTGTCACGGCGCTTAGTCCTTTATTCCTTCAAATTTGTGTCTACCATATTTGAGCCATACGAATTTTATTAATTTGCCTCTTTCGAAATGTTGTCCCACAATTACATGACTTTCAGAGTAAATTAAAAAATTCTCTCCGTGTGTATAACATAATATATTAGGAAGTTTCTCCTGGGCCCCTGAGCCTCATCTATTCCGCGAGTCTTCCACACTAGTTCTACATACTTAATTGCAGTGAATCAGTTGGGGGTGTCTTACGGACTCGTGATGGGATGGCAGTCACCGTCGACTCCGCTGCTGCAAGGTCCTTCGCCGCCCGTCGGGCACGAGCCCATGACAGACGACGCCGTGTCCTGGTTGACCGGCACTCTGTGCCTGAGCGGCACCATCATGACCGTGCTGCTGTCGGTGATACCCGACAGATTCAGTCGGAAGAGGTTCGGCTACGCGATAATGTTGCCAATAATCATCTCCTGGCTGCTGGTCACCTTTGCCACCGAGCACACGTACCTCTACATATCGAGGATTTTGTGCGGCGTCTCTGGCGCCAGCACTTTCTTCCTCGTGCCGAATTACGTTTCGGAGATCGCGTGCGACAGCATCCGCGGTATGCTGGCTAGTATCGTGGTATTCTCCGTCAACTCCGGGATACTGCTGGCTTACATCCTGGGTGGCGTGATGTCCTTCCGCGCCTTCCCCATGGCCGTCATAGCGTTAGCCATCTTGTACTTTGTCACTTTCATTTTCATGCCGGAGTCGCCGTTCTATCTGGTGCGTCGAAATCGTGTGCGCGAGGCGATTAGGTAATTAGGACGAGGAAACGAATATTCTCCCCTAAAAGCGTTGCACGAAGGAGAAAGTTATAATCTATTGTTCCAGATCCTTAAAGTGGTTGAAAGCTGGAAACAGTCTGGTGGCAGAACGTACGCTGTCGCATATACAGTTGCAAGTCAAGGAGACCACGTCCACGAAATCTGCCAAGTTTTCGGATTTACTTAGAGACAGAGCGACGATCAAAGGACTGATCATTGTCCTGGGTTTGTACGTCGGCCAACAACTTTGCGGGATCTTTGCGATGGTAATTATCGATTATTCACGGATAGACACAGGCATTTACTACAATTACTTGCTTATGAAAGGTCTGCTTTCTTGAAATCTGAGTAGAACGGCAGTCAACGTACTTATAGTTGCCTTAGAATTAACATAATTATAGTCTACTTAACATTGTGATAAGTGACAAAAGGTACTACAGGCCTTCAATCTCATTCTATTTAAAACGAGTCTTCATTTTTGCAAAAGCAAGCTGAGTTTCTGACTTTCTCATCCAGATAAGTAACACGGAGACTATCTTCAAGATGTCCGGCAGTTCGCTGACGCCGAATGTATCATCTATTATCGTGGCGATTATGCAGCTCTTTGGATCGTGGCTAGCCGTGCTCCTGGTGGAGCGTGCAGGCAGGCGGCCCTTGCTTCTCCTCTCCTGCGTAGGGATGTGCGTGTGTCACTGCGTGATAGGCACGTTCTGTTACCTTCAGAGCCTCCAATACGAGGTGTCTCCCTATTCCTGGATACCGGTGGTGGCACTGTCCTCTTTCATGATAATATACGCTTTGGGAATGGGCATAGGGCCCGTCGTGATAATGTCCGAGATATTCAGCCGCGACGTGACCAGTCTGGCCTCGACCGTATCTCTCTCTGTGAGCTGGGCAAGCGCTTTCGTCGTAACCAAGAGCTTCAGCGACCTCGTTGCTTTGTTAGACACGCACGGCTGCTTCTTCCTCCTCGCCTTCTTCTGCGCATGCAGTTTCCTGTTCACCTTCGTGTTGCTACCGGAGACCAAAGGACGGTTACGCGAGGACATTGTGGATGAACTCAATGGCGTGCGGTGTACGAAAACTAATAATATTAAGCATATCATTGGTTCGGATTCAGTGCACGCGGCATATGTGTGAAAGTGACTTCTCTATCTGAGGAATCCGAACATTAATAACGGTAGCGAAGATAATTGTAAAACACACACCTTCATCCTGTATATTTCGTACACAGCGGAGAAGTTTACGTATTATCAGTTTCTCAAAGATCACTTCTTTTCCTGACACTGTGCAATACCCGCAATAATTTTTATTTTAATCCTTACATTCCATTCATATTTTCGCGTATCTATTCGTTACTTAAAATTTGGAATATTTGCTCAAGTTTGCTAATATAGCTCCGTGTATTGCGAAAACAAAGTGATTAAATATATAAATCACTTTTAATTAAAGCGGCGTCTCGTCATTTGCTTCAGCCGGCTCACTATCTGCTGAAATTTTATCTTATTAACATTAAACTTATCAGAAAATGCGCAATTATAATCTCATAACATCATATATTATCTCGCGAGTGTGTTTTATACGAAGTGCTAATTCGAAAAATATTGGTACATGATATAGCATGACAGATATGACAGAACTGACAATATTGACAATGTTACTCAGATGACGACATAAACGAGAATATTGTTTGGTTTCAACAGCAGAACTGTTACTAAAAATAAGAACAAAGATATTAATAAGAAGATATGTATATATTCTACAACATTAACTTGCTCTAAGTGATGCCTCTTAATAATGAAACTTAATACATTAATTTTACATAAAAAAATATTAATTATGTTAATAAAAATTAATCTTAGTTATAATAGAATCAACATTTGTACATAAAATACAATAGAACTTTTTATTTATACAAATAAAATTATATTAATGTGTATATGTACGAATGTGCATACACACTTATGTAGATTACAAACCGTGAATTTCTTATTTACACGCTCCTGCTGTAAAATATACACATAAATAAAGATTCAAAAATTATAGAAATGCAAACTTACGACTAATCAATATCTATTAATTTAATCTACAAATTTCATAATGTTTAATTGCCTATGCGTGTTTAAAAAATACCTTAGGTATACACCAGAAGATAAGATATTATATCACTTTCCACAAATCAGTGTTACAATCAATCGTCAGTTGTTCTTTTGCGCATGTTCTTATTACCGATCTTTCTCTTTTTGAAGGTGGTCGGGGCAGTTTCATCATCACTATCACCGGTACTAATTTGTGTAATAGTTTTTTCTTTAAAAGTCCTTCGTGGTGGCGGTGGTTCTGTTTTCTCAAATGTAGGCAGTACCTGCTGCTTCTGCTGCTTTGGCAACTGGAGATCCACTGGTTTATTTTTGCTGAAATATCAAACGTTTTTGTATTTATCTTGGAACTGCGCAACAGTGTAGGAAATTAATTAATTCTCGAGTAATCTCATTATAATACAATAAAACAGTATACTTGTATGTAACGATACGCTCGTATACATATAATAACACTACTAATTAATTGTACATTAATCAACCAATAAAACAATCAGTATAGTTCAACGTCTGTAACAAAAGTTTATTCTTAATTTGTAAACTATGTCAATTTCCAGTTATCTCACTTATAAATATCGAAAGAATTCCATTTCTAGTTTCTGCTTATGTTGACTCAAGAAAAAGAAGAACCACGCCACGCGTATCTTGCCTGAAAAACGCTACGCGTTTAATCGTATGTCAAATTATGCAAACGTATCTTACGCATCGTCCTCACTCGAGAATTAATAAGAGAAATGGTTAGTCGTTGCGCGATAAATCTTCGCGAAAAATATCTTAATTCGTCTTGGCGATCGGAATAGTATGGCTATTCAAATATTTACATTGGCTTCACGACTTGCCAGGATCCGTAAGGTTGCGGTCTCTCGGGCACACTGTAGTCCCGCCAGTAAGGTCGTTCCTCTTCGACCGTCTCCTTCTTTATATCCGCACTTTCGTTGTCACCTTGCTCGCCGTCGTTTTCAACGGGTCGTTTCCTGAACTCTTTCAACTTCTCCCTCTCGACGTTGGCCCGTTGTTCCTCGAGAATATCCGCCTTCTCGATCGTTTCCTCCCTTTCCAGTTGTTCCATTAGCTCTCTCTGCAGCACCTCCTCCTTCGCCTCCTCCTCTTGCTCCGCGAAAGTCATGTAGCCCTCCTCCGGAGGCTCCCATACCGACTCTAATGTGTATCAAATGATATTTATGGAATGCCCGATCTAAGATTCGGGATTCAATCAGGATTCATAGTGCACAATATAGCAACAGCATTGTAACTTTAAGAAGAAAAAAAAACGCGACAAGGACTAGGAAGAGTAGAATTTAATATTTTTACGATAGTGAGAAATATAAAAGAAACAGCCAAACAATTTCATAATCATAATTCGCTAATGTATAGAAATGAAAAAATCCTATTTTGAGGATACACATAGTTTATATGTAAAAAATAAAAATAATTGTGTAAATTATAAATAATTGGAGGAAGACACGCAAATATGGAAATTATACAAATCTTAAGAAGCAAATATAAAATTTGCTCTGAAAACGACTGCGAGAAATACAGTTGCCAATACAGTTACCACCTGACTCAAGAAGATACCCCAAAAAGCAGACGAGCACAAAAAGACAAGGGTACCACGCACCGTTCGTTTCAATGTGCCAGTAGTAAGTGTATCCTTCGGGACTGCGGGCCTCGTACCACAGTTTTCTGACGGGTGCGGTCGCACGATCATCCTCCTGGGTCTTTTTCCCTTTTCCCTTCGCCTTGCCCGCCTTACCCTTCCCCGGAGTCCTGTTCTCGCCGCCGTGCTGCTGGACTCGCGGAAACGACGGCGCGCCCTTTGACAAAGTTGCCGGGTCACAAGGATCCACTTTCGGCGAGAACTGGAAAAGTTTCGGTTGGAAAGTCACTCCGCATTGATGAACCACGGTCTAGTTTTCTTAGAAAATAACGGACAAGTGCGTTCGAAGACAGAAACTGCGAGCAAACTCCGGCTTTTACTCCGGATTTTGTAAAGATGTTCGTTTCGTTTAATCTCGTTTCGATATCATTGAACAATTAGAAAGATCGATGAACCTACGCACCTGTTCGCGATTGCTTTTGAATCTTGGTACCGTCTCTGGAGCGGCTGACGGCATACGATTCCAGTTTTGAGGAGTCTAGAAATACACCCATACATTACATAAAATAATATCAATGAAAATAAAATATAAAACGTAAAAATTGTTAAAATTGTTAGGCTTCGTGGTTTTAACATAGCGAGGAGCAATACAGTTCCATCTTTGCGCAACTTTTATAAATATTACATCTGATAATATTAGGATCTGTTGGGCGTAATATCTAAAATTAGGTATTAAATTTAACAAGTTAGTTTGTACTCACTTCTTTTGTTTCTATCCTGTTGAGTTTTTCTTTGATGATTTTCTCAGCGGTCATATCCCGCGTGTTATTCTCGACATCCTTCAAGTACGCAGCCATAGCCGCCTGTACGAAAGAAATGGTTACTTTATCACTGGTGTCGTCGTGTGTCTTAACTTGTCTACGACAAATATTATACGTACATTTTCCATCTTCTTGAGGTCATCCGCGAATTTTTTATTCTGTTTCGCTTGCTTGGTGCTATTCTTGTGGATCTCCTTGAGCCGCTTGCTGACATTTTCTTTGTGCTTCTTGCCGCCCTCGTGGAAGTCGATACTCGGTTTATTATCGGCGATCCAGCACTTGCAGAAGTCGCAGAACTTACGGCCTTGGGACTTCCAATAATCCGCCCTGCAATCCGTTATCATAGCCGCTGGTCACATCGTATAAATATCTGACGGCGTCGGCAAAACTTGCCGGGTTGAATTTAAATATGTTATAAATACAGTGTCCCTTAAAAACGAGCGACGTTCCCTAAATCCCCGATCCCTCGCGAAGTTACAGGTAGCTAAAATGCCACGTTGCATAATCTCGTTGTGTAAGATTTGTATTTTTGTAGATCCTGAATTATAAAATGCACGCGGGCTCGGAATAAGTCGAAAAGTTCTATTCTCGACATCATCGATCGACCGGAGTGAATAATTCAGCCGATTGTGGTTCGCGCTGTCTTCCCGGAGCAATTATTGGAGAAATACGCGAACAATGTTGCCCGTGGCCTAGGAGAAATGTTTTCTCCCGTTCGGGATGAGAACAAATTAGTTGGCAATTAGTCTCCGACCTACGCAGCCCTGAGCATCACTCGACCTTCATATTACGTCTCAGTTGCGACTAAAGGACTCCCGAGGAGCTCAATGGCAGCTCGAGAAATCGTCGAGTATTGCGGAACAGATAGAAACTTAAAAAGAAAAGGAAATGTGCCTTGGATTTCGCGTCTCTTATCCTGTTTTCGTAATTTGAATTGGACAACGACCAGGAAAAGAGACAAGACTTAAAATACGATAAAATTTGGATAAAATCACCGATCTAGGATCGTGAATTCGAGACACTTGAATGCTCACTTTCATGTTGTGCGTACACAGAGAGAATCTTTTCTTAAAATTTATCCTGAAAATCATGTAATCGTGGGATAACACATTTTTTAATTTCACTATACATTCTACTAATAAAATATATTTGCCAGTACACAGTGGGAAAATTTGTGTTTTCTTGTTAAAGAAAATGCCGGTTAAAATTTTTGTGTTAAATGTTTAACACATTCATGTGTTAATTGACCTCAAATGTTAAATTATTAAAATACTTGAAAAGAAATGTTAAAACAACATAATGTGTACTTATTTTTTAATCTTACACAATACATATGTTCTACATTATTAGTAACAATATTGATCTCTTAAAATTTACAGAACAAAATGTTGATTTTATTCCATATAACATAAGTGAGAGTGATTTCGAACCGTCATTTGACTCATTACATCTGTAAAAATTACATATACAAATTACATTTTTTAAAATCCATTTTGCCATTAAAAATATGTTTATTTTACACAAAATTTATTTCAAATTATTTTGAGATTTGCATTTATTTCGTGTTAAGATATTAACAGAGTATTAGTGTGATCATTTAACGTATCCATAATATGTTAAATTAACACAAAAATTTATGTGGACCGTTTGGGACATGTGATATCTGTTAAATTTAACACAAATTTTTCAACTGTGTAGAATGTATGGTAAAATTGCAACAAATTCTCATAAAATTTTTCAAAATGCCACGTTGTTCCGGGATTACATGATTTTCAGGGTAAATTTTAAGAGAAAATTCTCTCCGTGTATAACACACACTATGTTCGGGAAAACTTTTGTATTGCTATCGTTTACATAGAACTCGATGTGCGGATAATTAATTCCGGGTGAAAATTTCGTAGTCGAACGTCGAACGCATTCTTGGGAAGACGGTGCTCCAATTAGGGGCTGCCAATTAGAAGCGGGACCACGTCTAATTATTACTAGAAGAATTCAGGTCGGGAATCGAGTTAAAATCGGCACCGGTGAATTTGCCAAGGTGCGCAAGCACGAATATTTTTAGACGAAAAATCAATTTAATTGTGACAATTCGCCTCTATTCAGCCACTCAAGTGGCGATTGTGACGAGTAACTACGCAAGTTCCAATTTACATCTTCCGAGGGATATTTTATTTGAGGTTGCGGATGAACGTCGAGCCTCTTCGAGCCTCTTATTTCTAAAATAATGAACGTCAATCAATTAAAATGATCGAACATTTCAAATTACTGAGAAACTATTTTAATTGTTTTTTCTCTCTAAATGCAAATGAAAATTCAGAGATGAATTCGTGAGTCGCAAATATTGATAAATATTTAACATCATATTTCGCGACAAAGGAAAATATTAGACGATTACGAATTTCGTTAACTTGCGCCAATGAGCAATCTTCGGTGGCTAAGGCGGATCGATTCACCTCGATTGTTTTTTTTTTCGCCGAGTCACCCGACGAAGCCGCGAACAAAGTTTCAACCTGTTGCTGTATGCCAAACTGTCTTGTCGCAGAAATTCGCTTTGACAATAAACGTATCTCAGTGGCGCCCGTTTCTATTATTATAGGTATACCTCGCCGCGCTCTATTAACGTTTTATCAACGTTCCGTAACTGGTGTTTTATGCAGAACTCAATTCAACTGTGACAAAGCATAACAGTAATGAAAACAGTATCGAAGTTGGAAAGAGTTACTAACGTTCTTTGAGAAATTCTTCTCCCGCTTTCGCGTAGGGAAATAATTAGCTTTACGCATTTTATTACGTCGGCGTAAAAGACTCGTCGTCCCCTCCCCCCCTCGTCGCGCTTTGCATTGAAGAAAGTTAGAAAATCGAGATTGTGCAAAGAAAATTGGAAAATTTAACTTTCTAGATAACGAGGAGGATATATTGAATCTCGCGGCGGAAATTTCGCTCACTTTCCTGCAGTTTTGTTACCAATTTTACTTAACAGACACGAAAAACTGATAACGGCGGTGAAATTCATTTCCCCATTGCCACTCTTTAAAAATGTGACGTTCAAAAAAAATGTGTTATACCGATTTCTTTAAGTGCGTCTCTCCTAAAATATAATAATTGTATTAAAACGACTGACAATTTACTCGAACTGTGTCGATATATGTTGCTATATGCCATGACGAATCTCGGTATCTGCAGCATTTATCGAATGAACAAACAAACAGACTATCATCTGAGACAGTTCAATGAATATTCATCGAAATATTATAGGAATCTCCAGGACTCGATTAATCCCTCGGGCGTAAATCGATTACAATGTTTCGTCACATAACATTGTTCTCGGATCAACAGCAGTCGAACCCAAATCACGTATCCAATAATCTGTCAGAAACGAAGTACATGCACGGATTTTGTACGATTGTACAAAGCTATTGTCATTTATACATACAGGATGTACTAAAACTATCGGATATCCTTTTAATTATAGATTCTTTTGAAAATTTCAAGACGAAAACTCTAATACGAAAATATCGAGGCTATAATACTTTTTAAATAATAAGCGATTATATTTCACAAATGATAGACCTGATAGGTTTCGCGCGCTCAGGCACGGCGACATATAAAGTGATAAAAATGTAAATGATGAATTATGCTAATCGCATAAATTTTAATAACATCGTCGCTATACGTTTTTCCGCTTCTTTACGCGTTGTATTATAATAGTATCTTTTCTTTACGAATAATGGGCGTGTGAACTAAAACATGTTGAAAATAATTCAAGTAAAACTTTGCACAAAGCATTGCAACTGTCAAAGTGGTCGGTCAATACCAGTTACCATAAAAGTCGTTACTATGGTAAAAAGGGCGACATTCATAGGAACACTTTTATCACTTGTCATGTCGCCGTACCTGAGCGCGCGAAATCTCAGGTCTATCATTTGTGAAATATAAACCGCTTATTATTTAAAACCGATTATAGCCTCGACATTTTTGTATTAGAATTTTCGTCTTGAAATTGTCTAAAGAATCTGTGATTAAAAGGATATCCGGTGGTTTTAGTACACCCTGTATATCCACTACCAGCATGTGACCAATATATTTATTACATACATTCTCACACATATTTTCATTGAGCCATTTTTGTATCAAATAAAAATATATTTTTGTAGCACTTTTGCAGAAGATCGATGAGTCTAGCAATGGGAATCCTAGCGACAGAAATAAATTAAAATTTTTATAGTCTTTTTCCAGTCGTAATGATTGAACGGAGAGAAACGCGCGGCTCGATTTGTAAAAAAAGAACAGTTTAAAAGCAAGATCTCAAGACTTTCAGACTACCTCGAGCAAAGGCGGGAACGATCTTTCATCAACTCGGTGCACGATCTCAAAGTTGAAGTTTCTCAATTCTGTACAATTTACTTGAAGATGGAGCTGCTCGGAGCAAAAGTATCGCCAAGGAAAAAGCACGGAGTTCAGAAGCAGAATCTCCAGGCTTTAAAGTACTCCTTTCTTTTCAAATCATCGTTCAATCTACATTATTTCCCGCAAAGTTACACAAATATGTGCATTTCATCGTTTTCGCCGCCGTCTCGAAATGATCCTTTAATCTCGTTTCGAGGAGCACGTCTATATAATCGCACGACTACCTCGACGATCTTTAGTTTCGCGATATCCCCTAGTTTAATTAGAAATACACCGGCTCGTTCTTAACGAGGGACTTCGAACGCCCGGCACACGCCGCGCGAAATAATCGCCGTAGATGAATTAGAGCGACGGCAGAACATGTGGGCGAGATTAAGCAAGATCAATACATAAGATCTCAAAGCACACGGCCATTGGCCGAGTTCCAAAGTGGAAATATCCTTCCTTTGGACAGAGCCGACCCTCCGTCATCCCCTCGATCCGTCGGTCCGTTGCGTTCACCGCGCGCCGCGTTGCCCTCGCTGATGTACGCGAGCTGTCGAACGGGTGTCACCGTAAATCCATCCGTTCGTACGCGCACAGAGAAGGGCGGACGTAGGGCCGCGCGCAATGCCGTTGTTTGCAGCAACAGGTCCCCGACCAGCGGATCCAGCTGGCATAAATCAACGATTGTCAAAACGCGGTCGGGACTTATCAACGTGGATCTCGCCGTGCGGTTGTTGACACGAAAGATTGCTCTCGCGCGAGGCGGCCTCGTGACATCTTCGCGAGAACGGCCAGCTGTGATTCGAGGGAGACAAAGCCCGCGATCTTAGCGTCGCCATGGAGAGGATGCTGCGACAATCCCCGGTTAAATCACCGCGTCAGATTCGGCGTCGGCGGCGAACGTGATCGCTCTATCGAACGTCATCTCGTTATATCTCGCGATATTTTGCGCTCGCGAGGCACGCTAATGATGCGCGCCCGTAAGCAGCTTACAGGGACGCGACACGAGGCAACTACTTCTGCACGCTATCTATAGAGCCGACGGTCACTATTAATACGAGCTATTAATAGTGGCGGATCGTTGCGGGACAGTTGGGCGCGATTTCTCGATGCGATTCCGCGTCCCTTCGGCGAATTGCGTCGCGTTATTATCCGCGACGGCCAAATGCGACAATGGAGAATTTACCAATGTGCCTCTCTCTGGCCTCCCCGTTCTTCTGACCCGGTCCTCTCTGTCTCTCTCTCTCTCTTTCTCTCTCTTGGCAGACGCTACCGGGTGCGTACGAGCCGTCACGACGGTCCATCATTTTAATGCGACGCAGTCGCGTTTGCGTCCACCCCTCCTTATGTGCGGCGAAATCGTGTTTCACAGAAAAGATTTTCGGGTCCAATTACACCTTGATCTATCGTAAAATCGATAATCATATTTCGTATTGAGAATGGAATAGTTTGGTTTTATATTAACCGCGATTTTCAGTGGTACACTGATAGCTACAAATCAGTGACTATTCACTGATTAATTTTTAGAGAGCAAATGGAAAAGTGTCGTTAGTGCGTGCGTTGCAACACGTCAGGGGAAGATTTTATTCTAGACGCAATAATCGTAAATTTATATATGCCACTTTTATTTCAATGTTACTTAATTCTAGAGAGGAGAATAGGAATTAGAAGATTTTTCTGTCTTGCTATGAGAAATCCTTTCTGCTCTCCA